ATTATTCATGTGGGCTCTGAGATAGGCCATGGGGGTTGCGTCTGAACACTGCCCGAATATGCCTACGAATTTGTGTATTAAGGACGCAAGAGTAAAATTGCTTTCAGTGGGCGTGCCCAACGAGCTGTTAAAATTTTTATCGGCATCAAATCCGTTGACTATGAAATGCGTCTCGCAGAGCTCGCCCTCGTTCCTCAGAGTATTGTCGCCCCGAAAGCACGTCATACTTATGTGCCCTGTTTGAACAAGGCTCAGCCAACAGGTTTTTTACTGTTGACCCAACTAGCACACGGTTAGAACGAGGTGGGAAGATTTTCAGGCTTAGAGCGCACCCCTATTTTACACAATAATTTTCCTCGTTTTGGGTAGTTGATACGTGGAATGATCTTTCTCACGTGGTTGTTCACGATGAATCTGGTACCCATTTTAATACATTTTAGGCGCTTTTTATGAGTCATGTGGCTGGTATACTTACCACTCTTCGCTGAAGGCTTTAAGATGTGTTCTTCGGGCGAACGGCAGCCATTGAACGAGAGGAACGAACCCGACCCTGAAATTTGGGCAAGCGCCTCGATCCTTTGTCTCACTCTGTGGATCCATGAGCCTGGAAAGGGAATACTCTTAATGGTTTCTGCGCGGCCCGGCCGGTGGTCTAGAACCTGGGTGTGTATGGTTCAGTGACAGAAAATAGTGAAGGTTTTGTGCGCCCATTTAATTAAAGATGGCTTGATAAATGAATTTTTGCGTACGGAAAATTGTGTCGCTGTGTTGCTGAACGGCTGTGATTATACTATAATCCAAGCAGACATGGCCTTAACGGGATTTTGCTTGGCGAGCATCTGATTTCACTGAGATGGCGACGCGAGAAAATCTAGAAGTGTTGTTTATTGGATTTATTATTCAAGGTTGGTGTAAAAGAAGGCTGTTGCCAAAAATAGCAGCCAGAAGGGAGCTGTTTCGTGTGTGAGACAAAACGAAAGGCTAAAGCGAATAAGCATCCGTCTAGGGTCAAATAGTGAGGGGGCGAGTGGATAAGCTCAACTTAGACGTATTTTGGGCCCATCGGAAAACATATGGCGTAAGCTGTGGCGCTGAATAGTGTCTGGCTTCCCCAACAGGAATGTGGGGGCAATAAAAATTCAGTCTCTCACTTAAGAGGATATATTTGGGAATGGGGATTTTATTCAATGTACGATGCAGAGGCAAAGAAAAACATCTTGTCTGACATCGGTTTGATGTGCCTTAAACAAGAGCAAATTGACTTATGTATGTTATAGGAGAAGCGAAATAAACGGGGTGGTTGCCCGCAATGGAAGTCCGTCAATGGGTCAGGAGGTGTAGGAGACCTAGTTTTAACTCAAGCCGTCTCGACTAAAGGGGACAGAGCTCAAGTGATGGGTAGCTTAGTTGATGTCAGAAATAAAGACTTAGAGAAAGATCACTTGACATTCCTTTAAGTGGTTCAGCATACCCGATCATGGCGCGAGGAGCGTTCAGGACTGTGCTTCGCGAACGTAAGCACGGGCTCAGATCACTTGTCACCACGCATGGTTGGAAAAACTAAAGGACCGAGAGCTCTCCAAACCTAGGAAGAGTGGAGATTGACGTCATGTCAAGGTTAAGCCTCCAAGAAGAAATATTGGTGCGATAGTAGAGGACATGAAGTTCTCGAACAGAACAAAATAGGCCGGATTTGTTAGAGCAGAAACAGTCCGGCCCAGATTGAACATTAAATGTAGTCTGGAATGCGTACGTCATTTTAGTATCGTAATTAAAAAGGGACCCATGTGTGGTGAAGTCAGTGAAGTAATGGGTGTGAGACGAATAGTAGAAGACCATAAATGCCACCCGGAACAAATGTGTGAAGGGTTTAAGTGTCTATGAGGACAGAACTCGGATGAAGTGAACCATGACAGAACTATGACACCGTTGCCTGTACAGTAGGGTTTACAGAGGAGTGTATGGTAGGCGAATTTACCGAAAATCCTATAGGGGTCAAGACTTATAAGAATGATATAAATGGAATGGTGCACAGGCGGACAGTGATGACGTAAATCCAGGTGACAAATGATAGTGCCTGGCACAAATATCATATTGTGGATTATTCAAGGTATCGGCGGCGGGATGATAATCGGTGGTCGACAAGGTCCTCAAGGGTACCGAAATGCACGCAAGTGCGTTGGGTGCGAAATAGCCGTGCCTGTTCAGGGGCCTGAATGATATTTTTGGATGATAGGGTGCCCGTAACCATGGTAGCAATTGACTAGGTTTTGAAATGATTGCGGGAGAATACAGAAACGCCTGAGCCAGCAGTTCCCGGAATGGGGGGAAGGCACCGTCGGTGCCTTGGAAGTTGAAGTTTTGCGGGCGGCAAAGCTAAAGATTGATGTCATAATGCGGACAGCCTGATTTATTTTGTCAGTAGATGTAATTGTCACGGAACTAGCAGGGGACAGTGAGAAAAATGTCTGGAAGGGGGATGACTAAGTATTTCATATCGCGTCTACGTTGTTCAATTTAATGTGTCGTGATTCAGTACTGTGGGACATTCCCGTTTGAAATCGTCTAGCTCAACAATCATATGCAACGTAAAACTTTTCCCTAGATTTCTAAGGAAAAAAGGTATAGCTGTTACGCTGATTTTGATTATCGTGTTGAATATCCTCTTGTGATACGGGAACGGTATCTCAATATCTCTAATTGTTGGAATATGTGCCTACTACAACATTCTGGTAGTATTCACTCCGGGTGCGCAGAACTGTGGAGGTCACCTTTTGGGGGCAACGAAGTAAGATTTGTAGACAGTGGGGAGTTTTCAACTGTTCTCATATATTGGAAAGTCGTAGCACCAGTTAACTTTCTGGGGAAAACTCAGGCCTTTCTAACGGGAATTTTTAGTTCGAAGTATCCAGTGACCGCGATATTGCATCCGTTTGAACAACTCGCTGTCCTCGAATGGCTACTTTTTATCACCATTCGTTTTCCTTTCTGTCCTTTTTTCCATCCTTATACTTTCACGCAATTCTCTATTTTGTTAACATATTTTCCTCGTGGGTTTCACTCCTGCAGATCTCAGCTTTATGACCAAGACCTGTTCCCTTTGCACCACCCTTGCTGGCAAATTCTGCATGGCGCACGACAAATTATGGTTGCTCACAAGCTGCATCCCCTCATCAATGACCCATACACTCAGTCAAAATTGAGAATCTAGAAAACGAGAACCTAAATTGAACGAACTGACGAATCGCACTTTTCCTGCTCCAGGCTGCGGGACTCTGCTGTTGCGGAAGCCGCTGAGGTTAGTCGTGCCGCATGGGCGTATCGTTCTACGGTCAGTGAAAACGTGCCCACTTGACTCGCTAACCCGTGAATGTCACCTCTACGATGTTGTTTATGCAACATCCTCTGGACAGTCTCAAGGAGGGTGCTACCCCCCCCCCCCAAAAAAAAAACATTTCTGTATCTCTTATGCATCCACAGCTTCGAATCTGCAGCAACAATTTCCCGCAGGGCTTCAGGCGTTCTTGGTTGTTGATCTGTTCGCCGAGCTTGGTAGTTGGACTGCAATCCAACCAACCAGTCCATGCAACCACAGAACAAACCTGTCGAGCGACATATCCCCATCTCATGCTCGACCTGAACATGCGACTTTCGTCACTTTTCGCACCGTCAATTCCTTCTTCGCCAGCTTATTTATTTCATCAGTTGGTATTAGCAAACCGATTCCGAGCAAACTGATGATACTACGACAAAAAGTGGAATGGTTACTTTGGGGCGCTTCGACATGCCGGTAACATCACTGGGTTCGGCCCAGACACAACGTATGGAACCTTGGGAGGAATCAGGCTGGAAGACGGACAAGGCACACTATGTAATAGGCTAGCTACATTCGCATCATACTGCCACTGTACTCACAGAATTTCACTGACAAGCCCAAAATAGGATGGAAAGCGTCGTATGGCACCTACACCGATTTGTGACACACAAGTGTACCAGCGACATATAATGGGATCGGTGGACAACCGGGTGACTAGTGACGGTAAACTTCAAATGATAAAACGAGCCAAAAGCACCCCTCTCAACAAATGATCTCTCCAAATCTATGGCTCCCAACATCCTGTTACAAGCGCAACAGGAAGGTGAATCGATCCAGATTTGTACATAAAAAGCAGTAAAACCACAATATATACTCGACCTGGTGACTAAACAGGAAACCTAAGCTGCAAAGAACCAACTGCAACAGAGAAAAAGCAACGGTCACATGAACGAAACTAAGAATCCAACCGGTCCCAAGACTCAGCAGAAGCCAGTAAGACTTGGGCGTAGGCCGAAATGAACGTCTGACGAGCGATCGATGGAAGCATGTTCAACCCAACACGTGTATTCGGCCGAAACAACAATCTTTAGTGCTACACCCATTTGCATATAAAAATAAACTCTGCTTTGGCAATGCTGTTCCGTAATCAGCCAAAGTTCAGCGTGGCCTTCGAGTGAAACGTCAACAACCAGGGTACTAGATTGAAGCAAGTAATTTGTTCCATCTCCCGGTTGAGGGTTTGACTGATGAGTAAATAATAAGGTTAACCTCGAGCACCCGGACATAGTGCAGAAGACTTATGGTGCTCAAAGTATACCTAGTCACCTTGTCATCTGACCTATAGTCAACCAAACTTTATAAACTGGAAGACCTACAAATTCCAACGCAATAAATGTTCTTTTTAACGGCTTATTTGCCAAGCACATGGTAGTTATCTTTTACAGCACTCAATCTTTTCTTGCCGGGTGTTCCCTGCGGTTGATAATTTTCGATCAAGCCACTGCATCCCAGAAGATACGAAGGCTACCCAGTCGCGTATTCATAGAGACTAGGTTAAGACCAGTCGATACTACAGTCGTATGAATTGGCTGGGCGTCACAAGTTTGGGAGAGCTCCTGGAAACCTGTGTAGTCGAACCCACGTGTGCACCCAGTACTGTAACGAAATCAAGAAGTCCAACGCAAGGGTAGCGGTGCATGATTGATAAGATGAGAAAAGAAAGCATGACCAAGGTTCACCCCAACCAAAAATAGGTAGGCATGTACATTTAGCACAACGCAACTAGATAACCTACCGTTTGTGAGAGATAATAGTTTATCAGACTATGCACGAGGTCCAGTGTGTGTGCGTGAAAACGTCAAATCAGATGAGACAAATGTTCACCAGGAGCGCAGCAGACGAGTACATAGAAGTTAGGAAACTCGATACGACAAATAGCTAAATTAACTGCGGACAATGGAGCACTGATAATGAACACGATTATGAAGGGCCGTGTCGAAGAGCAAGAGAAAGGGCGGAGGAGATTAAGTTGGGGGACGTTTTTGATGGAAGGGAATAAGAAACAATATGCATTCGTTATACAGAGACTATGTATAATAGAGTACAAGAAAAACCAAACCCATTGCGGTTGGGTAAATATGCACGCATAAACCAGCTGAATGCTTGAAATAGCACGAAAGAATTATTTTTAGTATTTATATGCACACGCTACAGGTATTTCACAACTAAACGGAATCGAAAGAGGGAAGTGCTCGAAATTAAATACACGATTTATGCAACATTGGGTACGAGAAGCCGAGTCAGACGAACACAGGCACACACGCGCGCGCGGAGATTAAATTTTGGGATTATGATGGAGTCTATGGTGGTCGCCGGGCAACTAGATGTTGACAGAACAAGTAAGAAAAGAAGTCGAGTAGAACCGAGTCCACCTACAAGGATTTACAGTTGTATACACGTGATGATCACAAGATTTGACAATTGAACAGAAACTTCTGATATACACACGGCAATAAAAGAGGAACCGAGGATAAAACGGTGAACGGTGGACAGGTGTGATATGCTAATTACTGCATTTATCTGTTTCGAGGAAAAGGGAGAAAGAAATGAAGAGCTGTATTGCCAAGACATTATGGTCCGTCAAATCAAAAGAGAGGAACGTGAACGATCAGTAATCAAGTCAGGGTGAGTGGAAAGAAGAGTTGACAAGACTGCCGGAGATAGACAGATGTACATGAATTCGGGGGTGGGGGGAATATGTTGGCGGCGGTGTCTGAAATGCGGTAACGTGAACATTGTGGAAAGAAGACAAAGGTTGGGTGCAGTAGAGTATGACAGAAGACGTTGTTTCAAACAGCCTAAGAACCTCATGGGTAGGAGAATGTGAGGAAACAGTCTGTCAAGATGATTGGCAAAAAAGTATGGGTGTGAATTCGGTTCACTAGCCTGCCTAACTGACGCTCAAGTTGTATCTTCAAGTTCCCGGCAGAGAAAGTGATGCGGAATCGGGGGATTGTCCAACAACTGGGCCGTTGCCAACAGGCGAGCCACTTGGCTGTTCGTATTCGATTGGTGCAGGACACTTGTACTTCTCATTCCAGTTTGATGCCTCAGGGGAGGATGATGCTCCTCCAGTTGTCTGATTTGGGCTTAAATCAGGACAAGAGTTTTCAGAACCGCTGATTCCGACAGCCAGATCATGTTGTGTATCACAGACGTTTTCATCCAAGTGAGTTCTTGGAGAGGCATTATCTTGTTCATTGGGAAGAAAACTATTCGCTTCATTGTTTCCAAGTGTTGTGGCCGCCAACCTGCTAGATAGGTCAGACACACTACCACCAGTGTCGGATGTAGACACACGAGGTTTCCGTGGCTTAGACCTACGTGATAATGCCAGACGTTCTTGGTTGAACGATCCGTAGGGGAAATAGCTGAAGGAAGCTGAGTGGCATGTTTGATGGTAATAATGCTGCGGGTGATTGGATCTATTCAATCCCGATTTCGGTGCCCTCACAGCCATCTCACTGGCTGTAAGCAACGGAGGTAATATTGATGCAGGTGCACCGCACATTCCACCATTGTTTCGAATATGGTTTCCTGCGGCCACAGTTACTGATACATCCACTTGTGAGTTAGATGGTGTATTGTGTACCGGTGGGGGCGAAGGTGCATTAAGATCCAAAACAAAGTGAGATTGATTCGATTTCATGTAGTGTTTCTCCATTTTGTTGATAATATGTTTACCGTATGTGTACTTCCGCAAACTGTTCAGATGTGGTCGGATCTGATTCATCAGTTCCTTGCGAATGGGTTGCTCCGCGACATCCAGCATCTTCTGTACCACATAATTGGCATATTGATCTTTCATCATCATACATAAGATTGAGGTATTTCCATGCGGTTCATCTGCACTTCCACCGCCATCACTGCTGCCGCTCAATGCAAGGAAATCACCCGACCTAGGTCGGTCATTGGGATCGGTTGGATAATTGCTCTCCAAAACCTCGTTGATCAGAGACTGACGCTCAGCTCGTGTAGCATTGGCCACGGCCTTCTCGACTACATTACTGGCGAACTTGTGAACACTCAGTTCTGCTACACGGCCCTTAATCAGATCAACTATTCGACTCTTGTCTTCGGTCTTTCCATGCTCCAGGACATGCTGGAAGTGGACGGTAAATAGAATACAAAAAATTAGGGTAACGCAACGACCATAAAGGACAAAATAGGACCAAGGCAACAAACAAGGGGACGGGAAAAAAATCATTCTGGGGGTAGATTTCCGAATGATGGAAAGAAACTGCAGGTCTCGGTTTACCTATTTCAGGGAGGTTTAGTGTGAATTACGGTGAATGCTCAATACAGAAAACCACATGAAAGGAACAACACCCAGGGATATGGGTTGTCCGTTATTCGGGTGTCTTGTTGATGTGCATCAACTACCTAGGATGAACCAATGCTCATGCCTTCATATAAACTGTGTCAATCAGGTGAGCGCGTGGACACCGATAATTCCTTTTGGGTTGTCGACACTGTGATCCAATTGACTGACTGGTATTTGATCACTACAGTCAACTCACAGACTGATAGTCGTTTTTTGAAACTTCATCCTGAGAGCGAAGCCAATCTACGCTAGAAAAACAAAAACCAAAACGCAACTGTTTTATTCCTTTTGGAAATCACCAGTAGTACGCAACTTGCGACCTCCCAGCTGGTAGCTATAGACTAGACCGTTCGTCCATTAGCTGATCGGTTCGCAGGTAGACAGTGTGTAGTGTCGCCCATCGCAAGGTCACACGTTGACTGGCTCTTCGAGTGACTTCGAAGCACGGTATGTTCAACTTATGAGGCGTTTTCCTGCCTGGGCAGACTACCTATACTTTGGGAATAACATGAGGTATTTTGCGCTTTGTCGCTTCGAACCAGAATGTATTAAACCTAGTCACGAAGCGAATAGCCTTCCCCATTCTTCCTCGCACCAGCCAGGTAACAATAGCAGCTTCAGAGACGGTTATTGAAATCATTATAATGACAGCAGCAAGGACAGACGAAAGAACGCCTGTTACGACAGTAGGGGGAGTCGTGGCGACGTAGACAACTTTTAGGACGCAGTTTAAGAAAGCACAGAATAATTGCGAATTTAGCCGCATCCATCTTGAAGGTAAACGAAGCAGCAGGTTACTCATTGAGCTCGAGATTGATCGTAGGAGAACGGTGAACTTCAACAATTTAGAAGGCCCACATAAAAATACGATGAAGAACATATTGATGTACGGTTGGGAAGTTGTAGTCACCTATCCACTATTCAACGTATGTATCCTTGTAGCTGCATGAAGAAAAACCCCGATGTTAACCCATGGAGTTGGAGTGGCAAATCACAAAATCTTGTCATGAGTTTGGCGATGGTATGTTCCTGGACGACTGCGAACTGTCTATCGCTCGATCAATTCAACCGCAAAGAACGGATGCTCTTTTAGAAAGGAGTCGATTAAGCTGGAAGACAAATTCTTAATCTCGATAGCTATATTAGTCCTGGTGACGCAGACGATAAAATCCTCTTCGGGAATGTGTAGACGTGACACCAGATTGCCTGTAAAAGTTAACTGTAAATGTCATGGTTGTATGCAATGTGGTGGCTCACTCCATACCGTCAGGTAAAAAAAACTGGCCGCCATTAGTTGTGGGCGTTAAAAAGCTGTTTGAGCACTAGCGGTTTCGGAGCATTGTCTGAGTGTGGTTGGAACATCGGGTCAGTGGGGCTGAGGCGGTTCGGATGGCTCTCGAAGTAACTAGCGCACGATAGATAGGTAAGTGACCCTCCATGGGTTGCGGATGCTTGGTCACGAGTTTCATATGCCATTCCATCAATCAACTTCCTCGTACAGCTATTTTGCACAACCATGCGGAGGTTAGAAAATGGTTAGGGGAAGTCAACTCATGATTTGACACCATAGTGTGAAAGCTAGTTAGTGTAATTTCTCTGAATGATGATGGTGATACGGGATACATTATGGCTTAGTCGCACGCTCAGCTGCGTGCATTCATCCAAGTTGTTCCCTTCAATGCATAGGTATCCACTCCCACCTCTTGGATTGTTCGCGAACGAAAGTGTCATCATCAACATCGACAGCATAACATCAGTGTTCAACACTGATACTACTCTGTCGTAAGTGTGGCGGCTAGAAAGACTGCGCAACACTTAACAGTTTACATTTGGTAACAAAGAGCCTCTGTCGTAAGTGTGGCGGCTAGAAAGACTGCGCAACACTTAACAGTTTACATTTGGTAACAAAGAGCGAGAGTTCCTGAGTAAGCAACCGGATTACGTGGGCTAGCTTAACCATGCTAAATCACCTGAGTTTCGGTTGAAAACTATCTGTTCCAATCAGGCAACTAGAATAGCAGAGAACGCTGCGCCATTCGAATTATTCCACGTAAAGTTTCGGTGAAAGGTGCGGTAACAAGTATGATAAATCAAGCGCTTTTAAAACGGAAATGAGTGCAACTTGGACAAAGTTATTCGATGTGCTGCTGACCTCATTCTTGAATTTCCCAATCAGTACTCTCGCAACAAACAGGAGTGATTTTCTGAGTTTGAGGACCAAAGTGTATTCGTGCAACGGATTATTAGACCAGTGAAAATACTAGAAAAACTAAAGTACCTCCGGACTACAACTAAGATTATGAATCATTTACTTAAGCCAAAAGCCAGCGTGATCACAGATCTCAACAGCTCAACACGAAACCGAAAAGGCAACCATATGGAGAAACGGACAAAACACTCACCTGAATTACGTAATTGCCATATTGATCTTTTACCAAGGATTCAGTATGCTGATGGAGTTCGGCCAATATTGGAGCAGTTTGTTCCGGAGTACAGTGCTCTAGGATGCGCTGGATAACACGACAACCGTACGAATGCGTTGATATTGACTGTACCTGTGTAACAGTGGGCGAAACGTGAAGCCAGGAGGTCAATTCATGCACAAATTCATCGTGATCACCAACAGAACATCATGTATCAACATCGATGCACCATACAACCATGATTAGTCTGAAGACATCGTAAAATAACTAATAACAATAATAATCGTTCAGATGCAACATCCTTTCGGTGCCTAGCTGCCATGCCACTCAAGGGAAGCACGAGGGCTGAGATACTGCCAGGTCGCTCAAGCCTAGACAGCGGAAGTCGCGAGGCAGAGGTCGGGTTCGAACAACGGATCTTCCGGCTGGCAAATTCGCATTCTTGTCCCCCAACCTTGTTGCAAGGAAAAGAATAAAAATGAAAGGAACATAGTGATAGCCTACCACAATCATTCCGATGTATTGCATGTTCAAACACTTATCCAGGCACTCGGGATGAAAACTGACAACAAGAGCGCCACGGATATCAATGGGTATCTTGCAGTGTCCCCGACCATGCCCGAGGGGTGGGGGAGCGCAGATCTCATCCTAGGAGGTAAGCCGCACCGAGAGTACTGACTTTTTGCAGTCGCCTTCACGCTTTTCTGTCACGTCAAGGATTGACCACCTGTCTAGCAGCCCCACTCTTAACTGGGCACCGAAAAACGTTTTCGGCAGACAACGACTCGGCACGCGAAATGCATGATCAAACCACCGCGCCTATGGTGATGCACACATTGAAACCCCCGTCGCATAACTGAACACTCATCTAATTGTCTCATAGATTCGCTTACACGAGTTATGGTACTGAGACAACGCTTCTCCAAGATCTGGTCGAACAGGCTACGTCTCAGCCATAGTGCTTTGCCCCCATGGAGACCTCAAATTAGCAAACGCGACCCGAGGCTTAAAGTTTCGCTCATTAAACTCATTTATCACACCACAATCGTAACTTCGAAGATACGTGAAACGCTCCATGGCTTTGAGTGCCGTACGTCTCAGCCATAGTGCTTTGCCCCCATGGAGACCTCACTCAAATTAGCGCGACCCGAGGCTTAAAGTTTCGCTCATTAAACTCATTTATCACACCACAATCGTAACTTCGAAGATACGTGAAACGCTCCATGGCTTTGAGTGCCGTTTTCTGAATTGTAAAAGAAGTGTTCAGTGAGTGAATGTCGAGAAGCATGACCTTACACTATGTGGGTGTAAAGCGCATACCAAGTGACGGGATGATTGTGGCCAGTTCTTCAAAAACACCTGCGCCTTCTTCTCTTCAAAGACGAGAACAACGTCGTCTGTATATTCCAAATGGACGGGGTTTCCACCAGTAGCTATTAAACGCCAGAATTTAGAAACCGTCCAGTGTTCGTCTCGTTGTCCCGCTGATCACGAAATTAAATGGCAATGGAGAGAGTTGGCGTTCCTGCCAAACGCCACTTCGCGTAGGAAAGTCTTCGGAGAGCTCCGGCATACTTTTACATCCGTTTTTCTGAGAATACAGAGAACATATTTTACTGACGAACTTTCGGGGTGTTTTCTGCTGAGCAGGCAGGCCAAGGAAGATAAGCTGGTCAAGCTGAGTCAAATGCACCTTGGAAATCCAGAAATTGTGGATTGCTTATAAGTATGGCGTTGTTCTAGTGAAGTCAACACGTGAAGGGGAACGGATCCAAAGAACAGGCACAATTGCTTAGTCTGCACATTCACCATGCATCAGTCGGGAGGGTAAAAACACAACTCTACGCAAAACAGAAACTCATAGTGATCAATTTTCAAAAACACCCACACCCAATACCACGCAAGACTTCTTATTGACAACTGATAACACACAGAGATCGAACAGCTGTGATGAACGTACACGCATAGTTTTTTACTTCCACACTGCACTTGCTTTATATTCCTAAACTACAGGGGAAACATTCACTGCAAAGAACCTAGTACCCTCAGTTGCCTGAGGACACACTACTTTCACGATTGACAAACATAACTAACGGCATCTGGTTTACCTGTAATGAATGCGTGTGCTATCCATAGTAAGGAGCTGTGATGGTTCCTCGTACATAACGGCGTGCCCATGTCCATTCGCCAATCGATCAATTAACGACAGTTTCGATAAGTCGGTAATATGTATAGGATGCATGAATAGACTATCTCCACTCCCATAAGTTTTTAACACGGACATAATTTCTTTTTTTTTTCACTGAGCATAATTCGCTTTAATTGGGACAAGAACTCTATGCAAATGCGTAGAATAGATGATACGTCGGCGGGAAGAGTGGGATGCTAGTTTTTTTTCTGTTGCTCTAGGTTCAAACATAATGCAACGTTTATTCAAGGTGAAAGTTGGCTGTAGATCAGGTAGCAGTTGATCTGTTCGCCAGGCTTCGCAGTAAGATCGGGGAGACACCATTAGTGCGCGCACATGATCAATAGCCAATTCATCCATCCGACTTGCTAGTATTTCGACACTACCAGAGTTTGACACTGTTGAACACGTATACAAATACGAGGCACCTACATACGCATGTTGTGAATAAGGAAAGTGAGGTAGTTTTACGGACTGCCAGCCGAGTGATTTCCCCCCTCATTCCCCTAAAAGGTACTTCGTGACAAAGTTATAGGACCACCCACGTCTCCACTTCTGGTGGGTTTTTTGGTCAGAAGGTGGTAGATGTCATCGGAAACGAAACTCCATGTGTGAGAACCTTTATTTGCTAGACTGGTCTAAATACACCGGAGAGTTGAAAATGGGCAGTCAATGACATTATTTTGTTGAGGGGCCTTGGCGACATTTTCCAGGCCACCTTACAATCCCCAAGAAATAACACAATATGCTTTTGGTGACTGCGTGGATGGTGAATTGACAATTTTTCATTTTCGCTTCTGAAAAGCCATGGAATGTCCCGTAACTTTGTATCGGTGTATCTACGTTAATAGAAAGCCTGAAAACATGAATTTAGTTATCGGATGGAATCGGGTTGCGAACAAAATGGAAGTGCTGATGAGCTGCGAGAGCGGGTGCACTTTAATTTCAATGTGTTCAGTCACAAACTAATTAATCGCGTCGTTGAGCTTTTGGAGTGAATTACTCACCGGAGTATGCTATCCAGATAGAAATCGCATCCGAGTTCAATTGCCTTTCACTTCAGCTTTTTACCACACGGACTGCGAACAGCATACCGTCTCTAGCAGTTGAAAGTGTCGTTGCCGATAAAGTTTAATGCAAAAATAATTTCACAAGAACGGCCTTCAACTAATTTTGGGGAGATGGCCTGCACCCAATGATGATATGGCCTTTCTTTATGAACACGGAAGAACGTTCATAACATAAAGCTGAGGCTTGTTGCTGGTCGCGAGTGACCAAGCGCTAATCTTGGATGCACAAACACTAGTGGACAGAAAATCAAAAACCTGGCAGTAGTGTGCCCGGATCGGTTCATTAACTTCAAATTTCCGGTACACCGCGCCTCATGTTCATAAACGGTGCGGGAGGCCTGTAGCCAGGGCGTTATACGCAACTGACCCAGTTGTTTATAAGTTCGGCTGGATTATCCGACAGGGACTAAAGAGCCCTGTTGTGACGACGATCAATAGAGTAGAGCAATATTGACCCGCAGCGGGGCGAAACAATACTCAGAAAGTATTTTCAGGCTAATTTACAGTCGGTTAGTCGGTGCTGTCAGTAAATCCAATGTGGAACTCATAAAAGAGCGAGAGTGGAAATTCTCCTGAAAGGCAATCATGAAGGCATTTTTTCTTAAAATCGGACGGTGCCATCATAACCAGGGTGAACTGGGTATGCTGGTTGACCACGTAATAAAACGACCACAGGTTTCGAATGGAGGACTGAGAGTTCACCACAAGTCTTCTGACAGTGTGATTGGAGGGCAGCCAATCGGAGGCACGTAACTCTTAGCGGCAGAAGATAGTATGAGAAGGGTCTGAATTCCAATTCGCAACCGCACCTGTGTAATTGTAGGCTGATGAAGAGGCAATAAACGGCCACCAACAGTGCAATTATTCTAGATAGCTTAGCCGTATCAACCCCAACTTCCGTCCGTTAGGAGGCAAACGGGTCTAAGATTGGTGCTAAAAAATAGAGTGGAAACCTACTTTTCCAACACGGCCCACTCCTTGTTTAAGCCGCAGCACAATTTCGGATTATAAAGACGCAGCAAGTGAAGCGAACTACAGTCAAAGCTTACAAGCCCTGAAGGATATGCCTACCGCATTAACTTCAACCCGGAAGTAATGGAGGACAACGGGTTCGAAGTAGCAATTAATTTTAATACAGCTACCGCTCAGATTTTCCATCATACTTCGGTCTGAGAAGTATGATTGGAACGTACCACTTTGATGCGCGGAGAAATCTGCGAAATTGCTTCTTATTACTACTTGGTGCAAATGCAAAAAGCCTTACTCACTGACAGGTAACAAACCACAATACTGATCCCGCTGAAGTGTGGTTACCTTAAAGCAGATCTAGGTATTTGCGGAAAATTCCTGATATCCGCGGCAGTTAGAACATTAGCCGAAAAATCCAGCTCATGCAGCCTGGGGATACTGCCAACCAATCGCTGCATGGAGCAGTCCTGCTTGATTGTGGCGGTTGGCAGCGAGACAATCATTTTTTTGAAAACAATTTTTTGCTTGTAGCCAATGAGTTCGGAAAGAACGTACAACGACAGCAGCATAATTTCCAGTGTGCGCACCGCATTTTGGTTGAATGGTGGGCTTTTATATCAACGAGTTCCTCCTTCCATCTACGCCACACTATCAACAGCACGGTTGCTTGTGCCATCGATATATCGCGTTAGAAATGCCCATTTACCAGTGGAGCAAGGGAGTGTCGGTCCTACTTCACATTTAGGTGTTGTGTACTCATTCGCGGTGACCCATAAAAAAGGTTTGCATATTTCGGAACCACTTACATTGTTTGTGAAAGAGTCCACGATGAATTGCAAGTGTTCTGGAGGAACAGATTCAATGCACTTCTGGACCACATGATTACCATTCTGGTCTTTGACACACTTGATAACGCATCCATCCAGCTCTCGTATGATTGCGACCTGCATATCCAACGGAACAGATTCCACAGCCTTTTGTATAACTCGACAGCCATACATTTGCAGAGACAAAGTAAGCACTTGACCTCGAATACGTTGTCCCAAAATCTGAAAAAGTAATACACGAAGTGCGTGCTCAATCACAAATAAACTCCATGTAGTTAACCTAGAGGACTGCTCTGTAGGCTGTGGGGAGCCCTGGAGAAGTCAATTAAATGACGTAGTTCAGTGGGACGACGGGACTACTATGAACTGCTAAGAATAAACCTTTCAACGTGACGATTCTTCAGTCCGTAACGCACTGCTGCCCGAGTAGCGAAGCAAGCCCCTAGACCGGTCCTAGAAGTAACTGTTCCGGAAATTGCGGCTTTCTTAATGGGTACAACCCTAACGGTGGATAACGATGATAATTTTGTGTTTAGACCTGCAGAATGTGCTTTGGATTGTGGACGGATTCGTTAAGGAGAGTCGCATTCAAGTAGCGCCAAGATCATTAACAGGGACGTTAACATCATCTACTTCTACTTCCAGCAAATTGAGAAAAAAAACCCGAGTGCTTCTCCCTTCATACCAGCTGGTTTCAACCTTCGCCACCCGACTCGTGTGCCCACTTTTCCCGCTAAAAGAGTACAGCTATTACGGCCATTCCAAGTATGAGCAGTTTGACATCCACCCCGAGTGCTCTCCCTTCATACCAGCTGGTTTCAACCTTCGCCACCCGACTCGTGTGCCCACTTTTCCCGCTAAAAGAGTACAGCTATTACGGCCATTCCAAGTATGAGCAGTTTGACATCCACGCACACCATGAGCCGTGTGATAGTCATCACTCAGAATGTAAAAGACTCTAACATAATATTTGACTTCAGTATTTGCGTGCGGACAGCATTCGCGCTTAACACTGTTTCCAGTAAAACAGCATAAAATCAAAGAAACGGGGGAACGCTGAAACTAAAAGTGATACTAACTTCGATCAAAAGTTATAGAAATACGAACCTGTTTCTGTTCTGGAGTTCCCAATTCGAAGAACTTCTGTATCACATAGTTACCGAAGACATCCACCATGAGGTTATAAGCATGCGGTAGTATCTCACGGAACACAGCGGTTTTGTCCACAGCGCTAGCCTGTTCGAGTTTCTGTTGAATGAACCGAGAACCGTATTGATCTTGTGCAAATTCTACGATGTGGTTCGTCAGGTCCCTCAGTGTTAACCAAGGGAGCCGGCCGTTCCTGTACGGAAAGCAGACGGGAGGGTGACAATCGAAGAAATCGCGAAACTGAACTCCACTAAGTTAAAGGGATTCGGCTAATAGGACTTGAATGACATACGAGTAACTGCCACAAACAGAAGAGCTCACCACATATGAGCCTCCATGAAATTTTGAGGTGTCACACGGATTGTACATACCGCCTCAGGGTCACTAAAACTTCCAACAAATCTGCGTGTGAAATCATCCTAGAAGCAATAAGGCCTGCAAATAAACCTACGAACCTTAGATCAGTCCATCAAATAGTCAGCCTATAAAGAATTTTCTGTCGAAATTTCGTCCCGTTAAGCAAATTCCTTCTGAAAAACTGAGAAGCGCTGCATGGCTATTTCATCTTTATCGAGAGAAGTTAGCAGTGAACATCTCAGGAACTGTGGAACCTATCAAATCCCGATCAGTGGCTGATCAGTGTGACTAACTAGCACTTACACAGGATGGAGAACCACTCACCCTACAATCAAGGAATCCACATCACATGGTGACCGTGTTATCTGGCTCCTCGAGTGATGAGTGCCCACTCGTAAATTTATTCTTCCTTTCACAGGACGAGTGAGACTACATGTGAGAAGTCCTCAATTTGCGAGCCAGTCAACGCTTAGTGTGGATTCCGTGATGAATGATGAATGGCTTTATGGATCGTCTAAGTGCGAGTTAACCCCACTGCTGATCGGTCGCTCGCGGTCGAACGGCTAAGAGGTACGGCACCGAAACTTCATTAAGTTTAGCGAGATTTGCATTGCCAACGATTTACAGTAAGGATGAAAAAGCTGTGCAGTTTCTTGGCAGTTCAGCATAAATTGGCTTCACTTGCAGGACAAAATTCCAATTGAGAAATTTACAAATCTCTTCGCACTACAAAAAGACCATGAAGAATTTCCGAAAGATGGTCACTGGCATACACGAATACCTCTGAAGAGAAGCTATAATCGGAAGATGGCGCTTGGCCTCTCCAGCAGGGGTACCCCTTGAAGGTAAACTGTGTACGGAACGCCTGTGATGAATCCGGAAACTTGAAAATCTCACAATCTGTTTTAAGACAGTTAATTGATAGCCACTTTCAAACAGCAGCATGCTGAAGGGTCTAAGACCCAGAAACTAGGACTATGATACGTCCGTTGTCCTACTGGAGCAAAAATATTGAAACCCGACGACTCGCTAATGTCATCATGAGCTCTCACTGCAAGGAGACAGGTCGAACAGAGAACTCGTGAGAGGAAGTCAATCGACTATTCAGTAAAACGTGTAGCTATTCTCAGAGAGAAAAGGAAAGATCTTGGCTTCCTTTCGGGGTATTCACCGAAGTTTTCACAAACTGGCCAACGTACGGAAGCGAAGAATCGGTGTTGAACACTGATGGCATGCTGTCGATGATGAGACTGGCCATTTGTTATTGGGTTGTATGGCTGACCTATTAGAGCAATGAAAGAATATTCTGATTACGTATGCACTTGGAATGCATCTTGGGAACTGCAGTGGCATGCTGCGATGATGAGACTGGCCATTTGTTATTGGGTTGTATGGCTGACCTATTAGAGCAATGAAAGAATATTCTGATTACGTATGCACTTGGAATGCATCTTGGGAACTGCAGGCTGATGTGGAATGAACGCGTCGACTGTGTGGTGATGAGAATACGATTATGTCATCGGGGTCGTAGTGGCGAAGACGTAGATTGTCTACAAAAAATGCGGATTACTGCTATTCAACCGAAGACGATCATAGGTATCACGTTCGGTTGAGAGAACACGATATTAACGGGATGTCATATAAGACCGGAAGTACTACAGATAACAAACAAGAAATGATTAATATTCGGCCACCGAAGCGATAAATTCCGCGCGACGCTAGAAACCTGTGGTCTGGAACAAGATGAAGCAACCAAATCAATATTGGTTGCCGAAAACGAATGAACGCAACTATGAGGTCATGAAATACGCGTTTGGTGCGAAAGCTACGGTGATTAACCTTGGCCTGGAAAGGACAGCATAGTCAGGTGGCAGATAGCTTATGATGTTCTGGGGAGGTAAACCCACCCAATCGATGGGGGCCTTGTGTAATTCGTAACTCCAAACGTCTAGACTGTGTTGCCTGTTCTCAAGTAGCCAGAATTGAAAAAGGGATCGGCGAAGATAACTCGCCCTCCGTGTTCCCGCTGTGACAGGAACTCTCCTGACATTTGGGATCTGCCGCTCCCAAGATTGCTGGAGTATGGTTCATGTTCGTTAGCGGTCAAGTTTCGACCGCGATTAGAACGAGTAAGTTGAGCTGTGCGACAAAACAACAGCCACAGGTCGCCGAATCATTCTAGAATTAGAAATCGGTTTGGTGGAGACGAGGCAAATGAGAATCGTAGTTCGTGTAAGGCATTAAAAGTTCCACTGGTTAACAGAACCAAAAGTGGAACTACACATTTAGTGTCTGGACCACAGTGCATAACTGAACCCGACATTTAGAGGCAAATTTCGATGCGTTCGATGACTCGCTTGCTCCTGTGAGGATCACTACAGCAGCCGGGTGACGAGAACGTTGCCTAAGCGCATGTATGAACATATGCCACCATCCTCGCTAGAAAAAAATTGCAACAACTTTTCAAAGTTCAGTGCTGGTACATCTTGCAAGATACCCAGTAGACTTTGAAAATACATTCGCTATTATCTACTCTGAAAACACCATAGGAAAAGTGGGGTTGAATGCAGAATGCCATGAAAACCGCAACCAGCAAGATTCAAAGACATGAAATGTGTATCCAGAAGCATCTGATTCCAGGTCTCTGTTTCCAACGGCCAACTTAGTTCGACTATACTGCCATCAGTCGATTTGCAAATCAATTCTAGCGAATCAAATCCACGAATTGAGCTCAGAGAATCTAGTGCTCCACTCCGCTTTAATTCACATATCTCGTGTGTGTGGCTGCTGATTTGATCTTCTGGTTATCCGGACGTTCATGCGTCGATTGACTTAGATTTTCAGACGCATATGTTAGAGCCTGAGGACGCAACATACAGAGGTGCATTCCAACCAAATGAGTACCCTTACTGAAAAATCCCAGTGAACGTCAGAAAACTCACCGGAATTCATCAAGAAGTCGGCTGCGATCCGTAGGTAGCGTGCTCGGAGTACCAGATGGGACCAGACCTCCAATTTGCGGATGACTGGGTTGTGGATAAGAAGCCGAATTGTCGTGAAAATTTTGTGTTGTCCCAGACCCAACGGGCAGACTATAGAATGATTGTTGGTAGGGTATGTTATGCGTGGATGGGGGACGAAGACCAAAACCTGGTGCAATGCCGTTCGGTTGTTGAGCCGCAGCAAGTGACAGCATTGCAGCGGCCACCGCTGGAAGTTGCGCTGCATGATCCTTGGCGTACTTGCTGGCTGCCACATCCACATAACTCGGCCTCACTACATTGCCTGGGGCTGTGTTGATAAACGAGGGTCCGAAAGTATTGGTACCATTTGGAGGATGGGTTGGTGGGGGCAAAAAGCCCGGAGGTGGGAGGACGGGTGGAGGTTGGTGCATAGGATGACGAGGGTGAAATGGAGGGACTGATTGAGGGACAAACGGTAATCCAAGTTGCTGCGGAAAGTTAGAAGGTGGTCGATGAGGAAAACGCGGATTAGGTACTGGTGGTGAGGTGGTGGGAGCAGGACCAACGCCCCGGCGAGAAGGGTGCAGGCCCGAGGTAGGTAGCGCTGTTCGGAAGGTGTCTGTCGATAACCCGTTCCGTGTGACAGGGAAGGCATGGGGTGGTCTTAAAGGTGGTGGGGACTGAGTTTCAGCACCCAGTGGTAGGTAAGGAAGTCGGTTGGAAGTGAGAGTAGCTAGGGCAGTGGGTGGGGGCATAGTTGCAGATGCAGGGAAAATTCGGCTGCCCATCTGGTTCGCTGTCACAGGACCAGATAACCCCATACTGATTGATTGAAATTCTGAGTTGGGCAGCATTTCGTGCGTGGAGAAAACCCCAGTTGCTTGAACTGACTGGTACATTGCAGGTGACGACACAGGTGGAGGGCCAGGGCCCGCGAATCCAGCGCATTGTCGTGTATCTATATTAGCTAACTGGGAGATATTGGGAAGCCGTGGAATAGGGCTTTCAATGGTGGGCGCAGTTGGTATTGGGCAAGATGAATTAGAAAATGTCTGGAAGAGTAACAGCAAGAAAATATGAAAACGAACTGAAGGTTAAAAAGTGTGTGATGTGTCCTACCTAAATTCGGTTAATATTCACAAACAAGATTTTTACTGATACTAGAATCCGAATGAAGTAACACATGCGTCAGAAGGTAATGAGGAAGTTGTGGAACGGGAGGTCATCTCTAGACAAAACAAGCTAATAGATGGTACACTGCACCTGCTAAATACTCAATTCTTCTATGATCCAAAAGAATATGAATCTGTCCCACAACAGATGCTGGTAACGAATTCTGTAAATGATACAGTAAGCAAGCTCCCAAGGGAGTACCACAATATCCTTACTACTGTTGACCTAGAGGAAGGTTTTGAGCCAAATCTCTTCAGTCACGCTGAGAACGGTCATTGCCTGATAAAATGATGGTACTAAGACCAAAAGACTCGACAAGTTAAATACTGCATTGTCTGACGAAACATCAGGATGTGTGACTGCCTGAATATGGCAACCGATAAATGGCCACGACCACATAGTAAGACTTCACGAGGAATTAGGTTCAGAAGGCATATTGTACAGTCTCACAACAAAAAAGTAGAACACTAGCTTCTGGGAATAAACAGCGATAGGATTACCGCATTATGCAGTGTGCCTCAGTAGCCCTAAGTGTGGTAATTAGAAGAGTTCGACACTAGTCCAACCTAAACTAATCCAGAGTAACCATAAACCAGGGCTAATGGAGTCACAATAAATTAAAAACAGATTCGTGATGGAAATCAATCATAATGGGGCGAGACCATTGCATGAATACCTGGAGCTGATCTGGAAGTAACTGTTGTGTGAAAGGGAGCTGAGCACCAAGACCCTGTCCTCCGACGTTTTCCATAGCGGTAGGTATCTGTACATTGGCATTGTTTGGGGCTGGTTGCAAAGACAGACGAGGATCAGAGGTTGCTGTATTTAGATTTCTAGCAGTCGCCGCGAATAGCTGCAGGGTATTTGCAAACAGAGCCATCGACTGTTGTTGGTCAGAGGAAACTGGCTGTGGTTGATAGGTTGCTGGTTGATCCCTAGGCTGCACCAAAGATTGATATAACCCACTAGATGGTATATTGGAAAAGGTTACACTCTGTTGTCCTTGATTTGCCATAGGACCACCGATGTATTGAGGTCCGAGAATATTGCCAGCAACGGGAGGAGTACCCGATACACCCATCTGCTCTGGCTGGAGTTGACCGTAGACTTGAGGAACGTATCCATTGGCTGCGGTTCCGCACGACCCACCCTGGATGCCGTGTCCTCCTGAAAAAAGGGGGTAGTAAGTACGGGGAAATGTGGTGAATCAAGTCGACCGCTTTAGGGAAACCGAATACTGACGAGGCATAGCAAAAACTTTTGGCATAACAGAAAACAGAGACACCTACCAGGACAGCAAAACAAAATGATGTTAAATGAAGACAAGAAAAAAGCGAAGAGGATGAACTGCCGCAACAGAGGTCAGGGTGCACCAGAAACTGGTACTAAAACGAGCACCGATGCACTGCTCCGCTTTCGAACGATGCACAGACGATGCCAGCTTAACTGATGGTGAAACATTCGCATTTAAGCTGCCTAGATCAGTGAACATTCCAACAAACATCTGTGCTATCTGAACTACTGTTATATCTGCTGATTCGTCAATTTGTGTTATTTGCTGCTGACCTGCTCCAGCGCCTGGTTGCCGAAAGAAAACTCACAGAAGGGAACACAACAGCTATATCCCGAACAAGCGAGTGCGAGAGCGTGATTGCCTGCGAGTGTGAGAGCAAAAGTTACAACGGCCCCAAGCTATTTAAAGGGGACTTTCTGACATTGATCCAGGCTGTCTGATAGGCGTTAGTGATCACCCATCAACATCGATCGTGCCTCTATGAAATGCCTGAGCGCAGATCACATTCGGTCGTGCGTCTCTGTGGCGTGCATGAGGACTCATTGACTTTTGCTGAATTGATTGAATGACTGACTGACCTGGATGCTTGCCGGCTTTCCTATTGGAATTTCGGTGGAGCAGTAGGTTCCGGGCGCCCTGAGGTTACTTTCAGGAATTTGACCTTGCTGGTACTAACATTCTCCACAATAGCAAGAAAACAGAAATACCTATATCATTGGTTTTCATTATTTTTTATATCAATTTTCTAGCACCCAGATCACCAAACAGAAGTTTGGCTCTCACTGAGTGATGAAAAATAGTCATGATTACATGACGTACCTTTCTTAATGAAACTTCTGAAGACCTTGAGTAAGTCACACCGAAACAGGCACATTGTCGGATATACTGCACTAACCTCACTCTTTTTTTATTGCATGTCTCTAAAGCCAAACACTCGGGACAAAATAAAGCACAGGTTTACAGTACGTTGCTGCTCAGCCATTGACGGACTCAGCACGACGAACTACACAATCCAAACAATCAAATGTAGTCAGACAAGAGGCTTCGGAGAAAAAAGCCCTTGGGAAACCTGTCCTCAAGTTGATAAATGGCCGAATCGGACTGCTTTGAGTTAGGATATTCAGAGTAGTTGAAGAGGAGGCCAAGGTATTTACAGTAGATGGAACCATAACCGCTTAGGTGTGCCAAAAGACCCGGTAAACTAGCGACCTACAGCACTAAGTGGTTCTGAGAAATATCAACTGAGTCTAGGCAAATTACAGATACTAAACGCCTTTGTTCATCCGGCAAACTAAACACATGAAATATCGTGTAACGGACCTCCACTATACCTGAACAGCCCATTTACACCGAGATGAATGAGTCATGGGATACACACTTTCGACCAGCAATAGTCCCAGACTAGCGTAAACCAAAGAACTGTGTTCACTTTCATTCAAACCCTTGAGGTGTTTAAGCCGTTGTCGTTCAAGATACCGTATGATTCCCTTTTTGGAGAGGACATTCGAGGAAAGGGTAAAGAGCTCTCCCACAGGAGGGTTCATTCGAAAGTGAACATGAATGATTTTGAAAATTGGAACGCCGGAAGCCATAATATCATGAGATGATTTCTCTCACAGTGAAGACTGCATCAGAAGAATGCGCTTGAAAACTTCACACAATTCCCACAGGCTGCCGGCTTAGATGGTCAGCTATGGTGAGAACTGTACACATGTTCCACCCAACACAGCGACTGCTTGTATGTTTTGCACAGCATTAGAGAAGCTAGTGATGAGCAGGTATTCTCGCATTTCGTGGTGATGCGACCTGACGTCTACTCTAGCTAAATCACCGGTACGTATGTCTACGCCGACAAGTAATCGATCCTGTGAATTGGCTAACCTGAACGTATGAGGCTCCGGTCTGCTGAGGGTAGTGCAGGGTTCAACAACAAAGAATCAAAATAAATTGTCTTAGCAAACTGACATTGAAAAGATGAGCAGAAAAATAAGTCTTTGGGAAGAAACGTTCGGTATGCAGTTGGTTTCGCCCTCACCCCGGTCGAGTATGCAGAAAAAATTACCCCATCAGCCGCACCTGCTTTGTTCAACGTACCATGGTTCCACCGTTACGCCAACTGAATGTGGAGTACCTTGATGGCACCTGTTTCCTTAGTTTCCTCACTGTGATATTATTGACCGGCATGTTCCCTCCATCAAATCCACCGTCTGCGGTACTTATGCAGCACTTGCGTTCGGTGTACTTTTATTTCGTCAGTGTCGCCCGATAGAAAATAATCAGACGGGATTATTAATTATGTTATGCGTTACTGGGAAAAGAATGTCAGTGTAAGATATTCAAAAGATGTCTGATATGAGTGTGGGACAAAAGTGTCTCTGAAAGGCGAACAATACTTTAAAGTCTATGGTCTGGTCGCGGCTCGTTCTGTGAGGGGGTTACCAGAAGAATGGTGATAGGTACACTATTTATCTCTGATGAAGCACGGAGGCGCCCAAAGTGTTTCATCGATAGGAATGTTCTCCTGTAAGAAGGTGACGAATAAGAACGGTATCGTAAATTTTATGCATTGGTGTAATGGAATTTTAACTGCATTAAGGCGTTTCGTTGCACCTTGAAATTTTTCGTGAATGCTCCAGATATTCGGTAGTTTTGTTTGTCTGTGATTCGAGCACACTAGAACAACATGGCGGACTTGCGCAACCCGTGCCGTCTAGGTCAACGGGAACTAAAGTTTTTCATCTAACTACATCTGAATAAGGACCACTAAACAAAATAAAGTATCAAGATAACGTATCCTCAGATAAGAATGGGAAATAGAAAAACATTGATTCGGTCATGGGTGGTTGCGGGATAACTGGATTATCAGTATTGATTTATTATTATCGGTTTATCACGCACTACGTCTTCCTGACCTCGGGCAGTTTTACCTCAATCGATACTTCGACTGTGAAACGTTCGAAGTGAATTCTGTTGGGCATTGCACTAACGGATAATTCAAGTCAAACAAGAAAGATGTCAGGTTACGGCAGTTGTGCTCATGATAAATGCTCCAAAGAGACAGTCAGGCGATAAGCCTGCGTCAACGGCATAAAGTATGTTCATTGTGGCATCTCCCCTACGGAAGTAAAGCGGTCGTTCAAGAAACTTGAGGCTGCTCGCTTTCTCGGGGAAGACTGCAATGGAAAAGATTCAGTGCCTCAAATAGTTTCTTCGATGAAGGTATTTTTCTTGAAAATTTCCTCGAGGGGGTATTATAACACGGTTCCGCATATGGAAATCAGGGAGCGGTTGCACATTGTGGGTAACATATTACGGACGGCTCATGACATGGTGACTGCATAGCCTGAGTAAATAATGGTGGTCGACACACTGGACGTAACAGCCACCATTCTGCACTGCCATCAACTACAAGCCTGGACTATGTCCGCCCTCCTTGAGGCATTCACGCGTGGAAGTGATAGCAAACTGGACGTGGATGGTATTAGACGACTGCCAGTTTGTTGGTTAAAAGGTATCATCATCATCGACACCATGACGTCAGTATTCAACATCGACGCCTCACTGCCGTACAACCATGACTTAATTGAAAGCCTTATTGTAAAGAAAAGAGTAAAGGTGGACGGGCAAGGGACTCAGTG